CAATACATTTATGTATTTTTTAAAACAAACTAGTATAGATACTTATTTAAATAAAGAATAGTAATTTTTTGTTTATCTTCTATTTGTTTTATTAAACGTTATTCATCTTCTGTTTGTTTTATTAAATGATTATTTTATTTTATTAAACGGTTATTCATCTTCCATTTGTTTTATTAAATGGTTATTCTTTTTATTATTTTATAAATAAATATTTTTTTCAAAGTTGGATATTTAAGTTAAAATGTAAAAAACCTATTTTGCAAGTACATCAAACTCTTGCTACTTGGTTAATTATTGAATGTTTTAAGCGTGATATATGTTATTAGAATAAATGATACATTTACCTAATCAATATATCAGACCGCTAACACTCCTTTCTCAAATAACTATTCAATATTAATAAGTTGTATGAATGGGTGATGTGACTTATATGAGGGTTAATCATTCAAAGAAACAGAATCACCTTTGGAATCACGTGACACATCACAATTTATTATTATTAATATTATGTACTAGATTTCTTTAAAATTTTTGGTAATTGATTATAAATAATGATAGAAGTTAAAATTTAAAGATGTGAGATGATTCATCATAGAAAAGTGGGAATCCAACTCCTGATTCATTTCTAATCAATTTACTTTGGTAAAAAAAATCAAGATGTCAGCCTGTAATTAAAATCATAGTGAAAGTATTTCATATTAAAATATATTCAATAAAAGTTCTGCCCTTAACCTATTGAATGGAGATATTTCTATACAAATTAATGCAGTAGTTGTTCCATGATGATTAATTTGATTTTTCTGGTTTTTTTTGCAACAAACTGTATTTCATAAGTTACTGTATATCCATCAATTATATCATTTATTATCTCACTGATGATTTAGAAAGAATATTCTTGTTTGTATCATATGCAATATGTTTATATCAGACCCAGACACTTTACCAACACCCACTTTACTGACAAGACACTTTAGCAACAACACATGACGTGATATTTTAGCATTTTGTTAGTTTGTTTGATTGTGTAGAGATTAAATGTAACCTGTGTGTTGTCGGTAAAGTGTCTTGTCAGTAAAGTGGGTGTTGGTAAAGTGTCCCAGACCTGTTTATATTTATTATCTCATTTTTATATCATATCATTTGATCATTTAGAAAGAACATTCTTGTTTGTATTGTAAACTACATTTGTATTATATATATCATTAGTTATATCATTAGTTATATCATTGATTATATCATTTAGCAATTTGTAAAGAATATCCATTGTTATATTGCAAAACAATACATTTATGTATTTTTTAAAACAAACTAGTATAGATACTTATTTAAATAAAGAATAGTAATTTTTTGTTTATCTTCTATTTGTTTTATTAAACATCATTCATCTTCTGTTTTGTTTTATTAAATGATTTCATCTTCTATTTATTTTATTAAATGGTTATTCATCTTCTATTTGTTTTATTAAATGGTTATTCTTTTTATTATTTTATAAATAAATATTTTTTTCAAAGTTGGATATTTAAGTTAAAATGTAAAAAACCTATTTTGCAAGTACATCAAACTCTTGCTACTTGGTTAATTATTGAATGTTTTAAGCGTGATATATAGAACGCTTACAACAGTTGTGTTGCAAATTTAATAATTAAGTGTAGTACAAAATAATCATGTTCAGCTGTGTCCGACTTATCGAGTTTACCTATGTAATAAAATTAATTTTAAACCCCCATAACTTTTTATTTTACTAATTAACTTTAAAAAATCACTCTATTACATTGTTGCTTATGTTCCAAAGATTACAAAAATAGAGAGATTTTTATGGACCAACAAATATTTCCAAAGTTATCAGGGTTTAAAGATTTGCAATTTTTTTTTGATATCTTTAGATGCGGTGCACCGTAGTAATAATAAATAAATTAGATAAATCGGATAAACGAATAAATGAATAAAACAAACAAACAAACAATTCGAATAAACTAATAAAAAAACAAATAAACGAATAAAACGAATAAATGAATAAAAAACCGCATAAAATGAATAATTCGAATAACCAATAATTCGAATAAACGAATGAGAAGAATAATTCGAATAAACGAATGAAAGAATAATTCGAATAACTGGGTTGTATTAAGGGACTTAATTCAATATAATAAAGATTTTAAACATTTTGTATTGTTCTCATTTGAATTTTTGGAATTTTTTAGTCTCATATTATTGATTATGATTTAAATGTACTAAAATTCAAGCATGTTATACAATTTATTATAGTTTATTATTGTTTTATTTCTATAATAATTATTCAATTATTTTCAGTGGTCCGCAGATTCATGATTTTATAAAAAAATAATATGAATTGGCTCAAGTCAACTTTGAGTCAGCACTTTTCTATATGTTAGCTGGCTCGAATTCGAATATTCCAGTCAAGCTGAATTCGAGCTAAATATAAA